TGTCTGAATTCAGCAATTATCTCATTCACGTATTCAACAGTACTGTCATGACTAACTCTATAATGTCACTTGATCAAAGCAACGCATGTAATCCTGCTAACACCGGCTGTGTCTAGTGAGCATCTCAGTTGCAATGTTGACTTAACCAGGTTAAGATGACTTCATCTCTCTTCTTTGGTTCCCTCAACTGAATGGATACAGTTGTTTATAGACTCCCAGTGAACCAGGCTGAGATTTATGTTAAATGTTTCCTTTGAATGGGCTATTTTTTAAACACAGATGGGTTCCTCTATTTAGTTTAACAGACAACCTTGGCAACCTGAAGGAGCAGAGGAACACAAGTCAGCAGGTGGGGCAAAAGGAGAGCAAAGCCAGCTTCACAAAATACTTTTGTCAGCATTTTTTGTCTTTCAGGCAAAACCTGCACTTTCAGTAGGCTGGGTTTTCTTGGGTTTGGGGCTTTTTGTTGTTGTTGTTTAATGCCTACTACAAGAACGTTACAGCTTTTCTTGACAAATGCATTCTACACTAGTGGAGTAACTTCCAAGAGATGCCACTGTTGAAAACAAGGGAAGTGCTTTGCACAGAGACCTCCATGGTCAAGTACTTGAGTGAAAGGCCCAAGAGAATGACTACGATAATTAAGTTAGTGGCAAAAAAAAATTTCCATACATTTTCCTGTACAAAAGTATGCACAACAAGAAAAAAAGCTCAACAGACTGCTGTAATGTTTTTCCTCCCATTCACTGCATACATGTGGGGAAATGTATACAGTCACAAAACTGAGAGGACCTCAACAAAAGACTTCAGAGAAATTTCTCCAGGCATCGCAAAACAAGAGGACAGGAAAAAAGTATTTAAGCCAGTTTAAATTTGTTTATAAACATACAATTCTCATTGCAGAAGTGAGTAGTTAAAGGAAACAAATTTTAACTGAAGTCAGCAGTCATTAAGCATTTCAGGTTAGTTTTCAGTTTGAACAGTCGTCTATGAATCACTAGTCTAGACTGTCTACGCAGCAAGTACTTTCTTCCTCGTGTTACCAATCATAAAAGTCTACATTTTATGATCTCAAGAAAACTTCAGTTTTTTATAGGTGCTAAATTGCAGTCTGTCGATACTAGCATGGAACCTTTATGAAATATACACAGTGTAAAAAAAACCCAACATCTAAGATACTAATTTCAAAAGACTCATTTCTCAAGTTCACCTATTCTAAGGCACAAAAAAAATATAAATCCTGATACAGCACTCAACTAATACCTTGAAATGTCATGTTACTTTGAGAAAACGCAACATGGAGATTGCTTTTTGGTACGTCTACTTAAGAGAGTCACTGATTTTTTTCTGTTACACCTCCTTCTTCCCCCTTCATGCAGCAAAGTCTTCCCATGTCTTAGCACGGAAGAGCACTCAGGATTGTCATCTTTCCCCTCTCCCTGGCCCCTCAAGTTGAAAAGCTCCCATACCTTTTAACTATGATTTGCAACTCTATTTACTTACTTACCTTGGAATATTGAAAGGTGATCAGCATTTACCTTGTCTAGGTTGACTTCCTGTTGTACAGGTACAACTAAGATCAGCACAGAGTTGCAGGTCACTCTATTATGCATTTCAAGTTTAAGCACAGGAGGGACATAGAAAAATTTGCAGTTCAAAGGACTTGGTAGTGCTTAAATGACACCCTGGACAACAGAAATGCTGAACTGACAGTATAGCTTTGGCACAAAGTACCAGGCACAGTCATCAGCTTCTAGGACTGATCAATCAATAGATTACGCTTGGGGATATACTAGTTCTTTTTGTCTTACATTTCTAAGTTTTTTCTTCCAGCTTCCTATTTAGAGATACACATAGCCTGTGTAACACTACTGGGAACTGTTCCAGAGTATTTCAACAAAAACTGATCCCTCTCATTCACTGACTCTGGCCCAATTCGGTGGTGAAAGAGGCAGGAGCAAGAAGTCACAGGAAAGAATTTTTATGGTCCCTATTTTCAAGCCTGAGTAGATTTGGACCATAGCAACAGAAAAGCTCTTGTATACCTCTCTGGGTTTTGCCCGGTAACTGAGAAAAAGTTTCACCTGCAGACGGTGAACTCAACTCAAAGGGACCAGGAGGTGGGCATATCACAGCCCCACAGAGTTCCCAAACTTACATGCTAGAGCACGAGTTACTGAACCGGTTGAATTAAAATTGTAAGCAGCTGCAAACAAACTTTTGCAGATGTTACTCATATATGCTTCACACCCGTAATTTGCAAGTCAAGTAATGCCAGTATTTATGTACTGTAAGTACATAATTATGTTGCTACGGAACATAATATTCCCTCTGTAAGACAGGCTCAGGATAGAGACTTAATTCACTTAAAAGCAGAATTCTGGTTGAGACTTCACATACCTATCATAATGCACATGCTGCTGCAACCTTTATACTCCTTATTGTGTGTGTGAATAGTCAGTGATTTCAGCGAGACTGCATATGTTAAAAGCAGGTTTCAGAAACACTAAGTCAATAATGTCTCTAATCTTTTATTACGCTTACGCTCAAAGTTCCAAGAACTGGACTTTAACATTAAAGTACGATGGTCAGGTTTCAAAAGCACAAATATGGCAAGAGTCCTGCTAACTACAAACTGGAAAAAAGTATTTCAGTTTGCTGAATCTACTGAAGTTTTAACAATACCACCTGAGTAACAGAATTGTTTGCTTTTCTGCTCACTGTGATGCAAAGCACCATACCTCTAACATCACCACCCAGGAGAAATTGATACTTTGGGAAAAAAAAAAAAAAAATGTGATGAGGCAGTGCAAGAATTTCCAGAAGTTTAGGGTGTTTGTTTTTTTCAGATCATGCAGTTATGGTCAGGTTAGGACTTTCAGTGCATTTTTTTCACTCCCAGAAAGAAAAAATCTTTAAGATGCAACTGAAATTGAGAGTCTATAATTTAGGAAGATAGCTATGGCATCTCTAAATACCATCAAAACAAGCTTTACAAGCCTTTTTAGTAACTCCATGTACAGCCATAAGAGTAGACAACACTGAAGTTTAAAATTGAGTTGCAATTACAGCAATTCCTACTTTGACGTCAGTTATTTCACTACAGGGTCAAAAAGGCTCCTTCTTACCTTTTCCACTGGAATTGAGATTATTTCCAACTGAGAATTTTCTAGAGTTGAAATAATTTTCCCTTATATAGTATGATATTGCTGTAGGCTTTTCCCCCCACATAATTCCATTATATACACCCAAAATTAATTAAAACAGTTTTCATATAAACCCTCAAGTATCTCAAGTACAAAAATCAAACAAGAAACATAAAATGCTACTACAGAATAGTGTTTGAGGTATGTATTTACACATCTAAAAAAAATAATACATTTATCAGAAGACCCACAGCTGTTTCATGCTGCTAAAAAAATACAGCAAAAAAGGTACAATTACATTTACATTCCCTGTACTTGTTTCTTAGTCTAGTGCAACATGTTCACTGTTAGGAAGATGATTTTTAAAAAATTATTTAGTCAGCAGAAGCTGAGGTACTCTCCTCTTCAAGAGATACTATTTCAGTTCTGAAAAGACCCTTCTCACTTACCAATAGCCTGACTTCAAACACCAGAAGCAAGAGTTAGCAGCAAAGAACTCCCCATTCTGTCCAAAGTCATGAAGCAACAAGAAGTGGAAATTCTTTTCAAAAGGGCGTTACAACTGAAAGTAGTTACTGATCATAAGTGTCCCCAAATGAAAAGATTTCCTTGCATGCTTTGAGAAATAAAAAAAAATAAATAAACTTGTCCTCCCTACTCCACCCAGAAATTCACATTTTAAAATGGGAAATTATTATGTATCAACACAGCTGGGGATATAATCAATCATCTGTCTCTGGAAGACCACAGAAGGTTTAAAGAGTGACTTCAAGTGAAGCTATTGAACAACACAAGCAATTGGCCACCTTTGTAAGAAATCTTGGAGTGTGATTTAATCATTAGAATTATTAATGAAAAATAAAATAATTTTTAAAAATTTCTTAGAACTGTTAAGACTGCTGAACACATTATGAATACATGTGAAAGTTTGGATTTTAACATGCAACTGCTGAGTCTTGCAAACCTTATGGAACTCAAAGGGAAAGAAGAAATACACAAGTGCATTTCCTTCTCCAGTTCCCTCTCTCTCATTACATCAGTTCTGGATTGCCAGGACAGTGAGACAGCTACTCTCTTCACCAGACAATGGGAATGTGTTATGTGAAAACAAATGAAAAGGCCTTAAGCATCCTGGACAACCCAGGCATAAAAATTTCATTTAACAGTTATTATCCCACTATTGCAATCTTTCACCTAACAGCAAAACACAACTTTTGCTGTATGCACATTTTTAGAAGCCTCAAAATACTAAGCAACCTGTAATAACAGGCAAAATAAACCACACTAAGCATCAACAAAATGAATAAGCTCAATTGACAGTATGAAAGGGCAAATTTATAGCCCATTCATAGTTATATAGAGGGAGTGGGATACAGTCTTGCTTTTCTTTTTATAACTAAAAGGAAATTACACTTTTCCACATGCTAAAATGCACTTGTCCTTATAAACACACCAATTACAATTTTGAAGCTTGCAGAAATGTGCAATCCTATTCTATGATAAATGTTTATTGGGAGAGCAAACAAAGAAAAAACAAACAAAACCGAAACAAATCACACAGCATTTAACAGTGCTTTGCTTTAACAATCACCTAGAAGGGAATGTACCCAGGTTGTATTTTACCACTGTGCAACCCCAGAGTTGCATTTGAAAAGAGAAATCCCTGGTAATCCCTAAAAAAATTTTGCACTCGAAGGTTTTACTTTTCCAGACATAGTCTTAAAAGCCAAGAAATTATTCCAAGTGCAAATATAAACTGGGACAAAAGCCCTGTTACATATATAGGAAAAAACTGCAATTCTGAAGAATGCATTAAATTAAGAACTTGGTCTTGGTCTAAGTATTACTACTCACCCGCTTTGGCCCGCTAAAAATCTTCCTGGTGTTTTCCTTAGATTTATCACTTTGTTTATTTGTGGATTTCTTATTGCCTTCAGGCACACCAGATGCATCCTCTGAAAACTCTAGAAGATCTGTAAAACGTAAATATAGATATGAAACAACCATACTGAAAGCTGTTGAACTGCTACAGCATTTCTTGCATCTGACATTTCCACATGTATAGCTTCTGAAATGATATAATAATCTTCATCAGAAAAATCAGCTTTGAAGACAAACAGTTCTGTATGGAGCTCAGGTTTACAGACTGGACTTTCATCATACATAAAAGGCATGTTACAAGTGACATGGTCACAATTATTATAGCACCTCTTGCCCACTGTGTAAGCTTCATGTTATTATTTCCCATTTTATGCTCCTGTGAGTCCCTGAAACTGACTTCTTACATATGCTTACTTATGGCTTACAGCTACAACTCAAAGCAACAGATGAATTAAACAGTAGATGGCATTCCCCAAAAGTGTAAAATTGAGATTTAGAAGACTTCCCACTATGATTACAACACTGAAGAATTGATCCCACTTCACAGTTGTCAGGTCAGAAAGCAGACACCTAGAAAGAACCACTAGAATGGCCTTTCAAGTGTATTCAACACTTGCCTTAGTAGTTGTTCTAGTACTCAGTTTTGGACTGTAAATCTTCAATGCATACATAGATCTCATTAAATCCTCCTTTTTTTTTTTTTTCCTTCCCTTTAAACTCGTATTTGAAGCATTATCCCTTGGAGACCAGCTTATGTTCTCTTCCTTGGCACAAACCAGGAGTAACCATAGCTTTCGAAACAGAAATAAAGACAGGCACAGAAAAACACTGCTTAATCTGATAAACAGTTCAGAACACTAATCCATTTCAGAGCTGCTGCTGTTTTTTGAAAACTGCACTGCACAAATAAGCAGGTTGGCTTGGTTACTCTTAATCCCAAGTGCACTCGCATCCAGTGAACAGAACTGGCCAAGTGCCTGAATAAGGAGGCAATCAGGTAAGTGCATTTCTAACACCACTTGCAAGGACACAAAACTTGTCTAGTCCCAGGTACTTAAATACTCTTAAAATAAGGCTCAAAAGCTTATTAAATTGCAGTAAACTTCAGTAGGCTTGGCAGCACCAAGGCAGACAGGATGCTCGCTCACTGCAAGGCACCTCCCAGAACTGGTTTCTCATCCTAGCCCACTGGTTTTCCCCTTAGTTGTACAATGTCAGCACAAGAGCTTAAGACGACATGAACAATCCCTCAGAAAATAACTGATTTAATCAACATTTTGATAAAATTAGTCTCATTAACTCATTAAACTATTTCCAAATTTATATAAAAGTTAAATTAGGCCTTCGCTGGAACTTATCAATTAGAAAAGTAAAAAAAAAAAATTGCTTTGGAATACATCCTTACGAATCCTGGAATACTTTTGAAGAAGTCCAGGCATCTAAGTCACTCAAGAAGGGAAAGATGTGTTTTCACCCACCAAATCAGGACAATAATTTGTGCCTTGCACTAAGACTTGGAGCTGGTATTGTGGTTAATAATTACTATAGCCCTCTATATCAACTAAACCACAAATTTACAATAATCTGAGTGTCTTTGACTTCTACTCCTATGATCTTGAACTATTCCATTTAAAGTTCAGAGAAGTTTCCTGATAAAAACATTTCAACTCATACTTACAACAGGACAATTGTACATTTTTTTATGTTGCTAGCATATCCGGTACTTATTAGTTTTGTAAGTTTATCTAAAATGCTTTTATTAGAGCAATGCTGTTGATGAGTCCTTCTAGGTATCCTAAAGTAACTCTAAATATCTTACCAGATTTTCAAATCTAAACTATATAGGGTGAGGGGGGAAAAGTCTTTTAACATTAACTCAGCCAGCCAAAGACACAAGTAGTTTGGTACACAGCAGTGACGCTTAATGAAGCTGATTTTCCACTGTCTCTCCCTCCTACGGATGTTCTTCTCCTCTATCCAACCATTTGCAAGACACTTGTAATCTTTGAGATAATTTGCTTGTCTCAGCTCAAACTGGAAAGATTTCCAGTGACCAACTAGAAAGCAGCACTGCAGTAAATTTCCCGTGGAAAAACAACCTCTTTTTGCTTTAGTGCTGGAGTGTAATTCTGCACAAGATTTTGGAGTTAAAACAGGACTCTTAGGCACTCTTAACTGAATAAAAATATTTACCTAATGAAGGTGATTCAGTTTTTGATGAGATGCAAATGAAGTAAAGAAAAATTGGGCAACCTTGCTCACAAAAATGAATTGAGTACTAGATGCTGATATATAAAAGCTATTATCCAAAAAAAGGTTATAGGAACCTCATCTTGATCACTAAAAACTAATTCATGACACAAGGGTTTAGTTATATATCAGAACCGATTTACAAAGCAGAAGACTAAGCTGAAATATTTACAGTACAATAACAGGATACCTGCTACTATAACTTAAATCAAGAATATTGTAGTTCATCATTACTATAGTGCTTATGAGATATATAGTAAAAGAGATGAACCAAATAAAACACACATGTTAGAGAGGGCAGATCTTTCTACCTTCCCTTAGTGGAAGGTTTCAGGCCAATGGCTCTATCCTGTTTATGTCAATCTACATAGGAATATGGAAATGTTCCATTTTAGTCACCACTTTCTGTTTTTCTTTTATGCCTGTAATTTTTTGGAATAATTTTATTGTCATTAGCCAAAATGAAATGGAGTAAAATAAGCACTTACATAGTCCTAGGTATCCCAGATGAACAGGAGGGAAAGAAAGCACTTTGAGACTACAAGTTCAGAAGTCAAATACATTAGAAATTTTAGTGACCCACCCAAGCTACTGACAACCATGGCAGAACCTTTTGAAAAAGACAGCAGCAAACTGATAGCACAGTTATCTGCAGAAATACAACACCATCCCAAAGATAAAGGTTTGCTCTTCAAAACTGAAGCTGAAAGTTATTTTTGGTTAAGTATTACTTTTCCTTGCGATTAGTTCTGATTTGTCTTTGATATGACTTCCCTCTGGTATTAAAAGTTTCTCCTTACTGGAGTCATCCTCTACTCTGGACAGTGAAACGGTACAAGAACTGTTTTGGATCTAGTAAAGTCTCATCAGTACTTTTAGCCCCTGGCACTCTGGCAGACTACACAGCTGGGGACCCAGGAGTCAAAGGAGGCTTTTGCTTCACTGGGTTGCTATACAGATTAAATAAAAATTTTAGACTGCAATGGTAAAAAAAAAAAAAAAAAAAGCATTAACTAGAACTTGAAGCTTTACCAGGAATCTCATGCTCATAAAGTTATAAATATCTTCATTAAAAAGAAATGTCTGAACAGTGTATCGGAATTTGAACGCTGGACTATTATGTGAAATTTTGTTTGACTTTTGTTCACCATTTATTTCCACAGGCAAGCCTATTATACCAGTGAACAACAGAAAAGACATTTCAGCGAAAGCATAACCAAAATTCACCTATTTTGCATTTTTTTTCTGTACTAACAATGTTGTCCATCCAGTTTTTGGTGCTTCCTTCAATTCCATTTGCAGAAACATTTAAATATGTATTATTAAACTTACTTTTCCCAAACTGTAAACCACTAGAGTGGAAAGAATAATCCATTTCCAGTTGAGTCATAAAATCTCTGCATAATGTTTTACACAAAGATTCTAAAATGTCTCAAAAATAGGCCTGTATTATGGTAAATAACTAAGTCAGTATTATGGGAAAAAAAATTGCAAGACTGTAACAGAAAGCATAACCTATATTGCGAAACTGACTATGCCATCTAACATTACTTACACACAGAACGTCAAAATCAGTCTTAGGAATTTCTGGGCAATCTGGGAACAGGAACACTACATTTTTATCTGTGGATTTATTCACTTATACAAAAAAACAGCACACACAGGACTCAGGCAGCATTAGTACCTCTCAGTACTGTTTGTAACTTCAGGAAAGGATTTTACTGTGCAAGATGTTCTAAAAGCTTTTTCTGAGGTTTGGATTAGAAAGTAGCATTTTCCCTGGATGCAGAAGTCACTTTCTTCAGTATGTAAAGATGGCCCCTCACAGCAATGTCACATACTTTATTGCAACTTCTGGCTTAGATTCCGAAGTCCTTGACAAATTCTCAGCATCATTTTATTTAAAGACCTTAATACTGATGTTCTGAGTGATCATGATGCCCAAGGATTTCAATGGTCTCAGAGAAGACAGCATGAAATATATCAAGGAATCCTACAAATTTTAGGGCAACACCAGATGCCCTATCTTTATTATTTTTATTACAGGACTGAACTAGGGAGTGGTCTGCAATTTAGGGCAGTAATTTCACATCACCCTTTCAGCAATCAGGAAAAAAAAAATGAAAGCAAAATCTCACCTGGCTACAATAGCACAAAACAGAAATCAAACAAGCAAAGAAGATGCAAAGTAATGGGGGAGTATCTCTCAGCAGAGGCACTGAGATAGCTCTTATTTGACAAGTGGAGAAGTGTATTTAAGAAACAAATTTTAACCTACCTGTGCCACAGGAATTTCTTACGAAAATATTTTAGATAAATAATCCATGATACCTCAGAGTATAATGGCCTCCTAAGTGAATGTAGTGCTGAATGCAAACTGGAGATATTTTGAGACTCCAGAGAACAGCAGCTGAAAGGATTATTTGATGGATCAGCACCTCAGATAAATTAACTGTATAAGAAATTTTTTCTTGGAATAAATGGCTGAACAAAAGAGTCATCAGAGAAAGGGACACAGATGTAGTATTTCATTAGCAGCTCTGTAAGTTAAACTCATTTTCCAAAGACGCTGGGTCACAACTGTTTCATCATAATTAGGTTTTATGAAAACAAATTAAGTGGATTTTTTTTGTTTGGAAAAACAATTGTCTCATATAACATTAGTATCAGTCTGCCCTTTCTAGAATTCACAAAAATAATCTAGATGTTACATTTACCTTTGATTAAAAGGCTTACAGACAATTCTGTTTTTAGTGACAACTTTAATTAGAACAGAAAAATTATCAACCTTGCTGAAGGCTTAAAAATGTAGTAACTTTAATGAATTGATAAAAACTAAAAAAATCCCCTCGAACAGCAGCAGTGTTTTGAAATACTTATTCCCAAGTCCACAATTATTTGTCATGAGACTTTAAAAAAAAAAAAAGATAAAAGAAATCTTTCAAAGTCACTCCTTTTCTTCTTCACCAACACATCTCAAGCGTGATCCAAGTCTTTATGTAGGAACCAGCCAACCACCAAGCAAGTCTAATTTTTCAAAAGCAAACACCAGAACTTGCTCAGCAAATTCTCCCTGAACAGTTTTTCTCACATCTGTGTGTACACACACACACAAATGTACCACCTATACAGAAGATGGAGATACCCGACAACTGGAAACAAAAGCAGAAATACATCAATGTGCAGAGGCACACACAAAGCCAGTCATCTAACTAGCACTCCACATGTTCTCAAAGCCTCTCCCTCGAGCTCTGCCTCCTCAGGTAAGTTAAAATTTGAGAAAGCTCCAAACGGTCTACAAAAATGTTCAAAAGCATAACACCCATAGATATTTCACATCTCTAAGGGCTACTTAAATTTATGTAGTCAGCTCCACAATTCTGAATCGATGTGGAGCTTCTGTGGGAAACTATCTACCTTCTAGGCATAGGTACTGTATGCTGAACAAACTAGTTAAGAAACTTCTGTTCAAAAAGAAAAAGCTCCACCTCTGGCAAGACATCAAGGGGTATAAAGCAGGCTTCAAGATAGCTATGAAACACCAGACAGGACCACAGCAGAAACAAGCAAATTTACCTTTTAGACTTCCAAATCAGTAGCACCCTTCAACAGTCTCCTAGCTATATTGCAAAATGAACAAAATACAAAGGTGAACTGAACTAAACTGAAATGTTAGGTATGCATTGAAGAAGAGTTTTGCTTACCTGCATGAGTACTGAGCTGGCTATCCTGGGAACAGTTTTCATTGTCATCAGAGGTTGACTGTAGTGAAGGAGATGGTGCAGTTCTACTTCGTTTTTTGTTAGCCTTCCTTTCTGCTATCTGCCACTCTTCATCTTCATCCTCGCTTTCACTCAAGTCATCAAACCCAAAGTACTTAATTTTGTAATTGGAACTTCCAGAACTTCGAGAGGCACCTTCATCTCCCCCTCCTTCATCTTGATCATCAAACCCAAAAAATTCTAATTTGACATCCTTTTTGGATTTGGTATTGCTTGGTCGAAACCTGGTTGTCGTTTTTGTAGTAGCAATGTCTGCTTTTTTTCTCAAGCGTCCAGCTTCTCCCAGGTCAGCAGGGGTTGCTGTGGTAAATTCATCGATTCGTTCCATGGTATCCTGTATAGTAACATTACAAACTGACAAGCAAGATGGATGTAGAACTGTGTAGTCTCTAGTCCGTCCAACTGTCCCTCTAAAACTGGTCCCACTACTTAAAGAAGTTTTTCTTGCTGGGTTCAGGCCGTCATTTGACTCACTATTTGCTTTGGATATAGACTGACTAGTGCCATCCATTAGCTTGTCAAAATTTGTTGCCCCCTGTGGTTTTGCTTTGTTGGATCGACAATATGTCCTACAGTTGCTTGGCCTTGGAATAGTTTGCAAAAGTTCTTCACTAATGGCTTCCTTTGGATTTTCATTATCTTCTTTATCACACTCCTCATCCTTGCTCTTCATCTCTGAGAGATGTTCATTGTCAAAATCTAATACATACTCTTCAGTTCTGGTGTCTTCAGTTTCATCCTCCCATACATACAAGTGAGTTCTTAATGGCCCCTTTGTCTGAGAGACTTCTGATGAAGAGTCTGCTGTTTTTCCAGTGTGGGAGTCCCAAGAATCAGTCAAGTCCTTGGCTTCAAAGTTGCATCCAGCAGCATCTACAGTTTCAGCATTGGTTTTGTTACTGTCTTCAACATTCTCATAGATGAAATGACTGTTCTTCTCATTATCTTCATTCAAATTCTGTATTTTATCTACAAGAAAAGATAAATTTATTACTAGAAACCACTATGAAAAAAATAATCACCCTTGCAGGGCAACTTTGAAGAGTCACACTAACAGCAAACATTTCGTGCTCAATGACCAAAAAAACCCGCCATGACATTACCCTCCTGGTTTATGCAAATACACTTTTTAAGCCATCCAGTTTCTTTTTTTTTCAGTAAAAAATCTTACTTGTTATTCATTAAAACCACCTATTAATCTATACAACCTACACAAAAGGAGAAAACAATCTGCAATGAACATTTCACTGAAGTCAATCACCATTCAATGCTTCACACAACTGACTTACAGTAAATAAACAGCAATTACAAAGCATTTTCTAACTATATAATAAAAACTTCCTTCTAATGCATAGGTTATAAGTCTTGTATTTTATTGTAATATAAACCCCTCCACAATCCTAGTTCTCATCAAGCAATTCCAACTACAGTGGTGTTTCAAATGAAAGTTTCGGCACTTAGATTTTGGTGCCTTATTTGTTTCACATGTCCTACTTTAAGTACTTTTTACTCTTGCATGCAACTTGAACAGGTAATATTGGAAACACAAAACACGTACAAATCAAATTAGCTAAGGTTGCATATATTATTTTTTTAATACTAAAAGATGCATTATAGTAGCCTATTGCAGTAAAGAAAGAGGATGCATAGGCAGGTTACAGGTGTTCCTTCACATATTCTGAGTCTAAGAACTAGAGGGTAGTGAGGCACATCACAGAAGAAATGAAAATCAGAATGCGCCGCAGAACCTAACAATGAAGAACATTTGCTGAAAATGATCCTATAATTCATTGTCTATCACTTAACTGCACAACTACTAGAACCAGTGAACATAATCCATTAACATACTGGTACTAAAATGCTCAGTCCCTATTACAAACTGTATTGTAAGTTTTGATCAATGGACCCTGAACAGAATGGCACACAACTTCAGCAACTGTTATTTTGCTGCTTCAAATTAAAATATTCAAACTTCCGTAAGAAATACAGAAAAAGCAGCTCTTGCCACATTTTTAAATTAAATCATTTTTGAAATGCACTTTTGAAACTTTTTTAAACTGCTGCCAGAAGTTTGTCTTGCACTTCTCCAGCCCATTGCTGGCTTGAATCTTATGCTGACAAAGAGAACAAATCTAAGACTTGTTTCCAGCTGACCAGCATCCACACAACAGTGTGGATGCCAGGAAAGACACTACTAAGTCTTCTATCTGTTGTCCTCGAAAATGGTAGGAAAAACATTGTCTTTGGTTTCCCCAAATACCAACAGCAGCTCAGTAGTTTCAATATCAGAGTTTCACAAAGATTGCATCTGCCATACCCTGTAGTTGGCACCTGGCACCCAAAGATACCCAGAAACACAAGTGTGGTACTTCCTGGAAACAAGATGGGCAGAAATTTGTGCTGTGCGACATTATAGCCAAACACAGGACCCAGCGTTGCTATCAACACTTACTGTACTGGCTGCCTGGGCCAGAAGAAGCAAGGTAAGAAGTCTGACTGGAATGCAGAAGATTATGACACATAGAAAAGTAGAAAAGTAACACAAGATAAACTGGAGAAACTGAAGCAACTGGGACGAGTAGAAAAAAAAAATACTAGAAAAATAAAAATACTTAGGACACACAGGCACAGAATGCTACACTAACAAAGGAAGCTTCACAGCAGAACACAGCCCCTAAGGTTCAAATTCGTGACACAGCAAATGCTGCCTCAACTGACCAGTACAATGAAGGCTTTAGCAGCCTTCAGCACTAGCCCTGACTGCATTAAACTTTATCAGCTACCCAAGAGGCACAGAAGTTTCACAGCACTGACCACAATGTTTCAGCCTTTCTGATCAGGAATGCGAGTACTGCTACTGTTTCAGGGACTTTGCTATTTTGCTTTCAAATTAAAATGGCATCATCTAAATGCCACCCTTGCACATACGGTTTATAAAAGAACTTTAAGGTGCAAGCAGAAAGTTCAAGTAAAAGAAATTACTACCAAGTCAAATCTTGAAGGAAATGAGTTTAACCCAAGCGGAAATTCCTTGGGAAGACAGAACAAGCAAAATCTCACAAACCAAATCTTTTCTGGGAGCCCAGCTGAGGTCTGTCATAGAAGTTTACATATTCAGCTAGAAATAAAAAAGCTCTTCACAGAACATAGGAAATGCAAAACTAAATTCCCCAAAGAACATAAGTCCTAGCCACCTCAATGATGGAATCTTGTTTAATCTTTCTCAGTGTCAATATGTTATACAAGAAATCTTGTTATTCCCATTTCAATCTCATGCTTGTGATAATCTAAGAGGCCAACCAAAATTAATCTGTAAGTAAAGACTGAGTTTCACAGTGTACAGTATGTTCCTTCCCCCCATGTTTAACATTAGTGTGCAACTGAGGACTACCATATTACTTAGGCATGAAAACCTGCAAATTAAACTCAAACTTCTCAGACTTTCCACTAAAATACACTCTTTCGCAGTCTCAGTTTTTTTTTTTCCATATCTGAGTGCATATTTACTTGAATTAATAAAGTCTAAGCAACATCTAAAATAAGTACATTTAAAGTATGTCTGTCTTTGCTGACTAAAAACTACTTTCTTGAATTGTTAGGAAGAAGCTGCAGCATGCATATCTGGAAAGGGAACAGTTTTCCCATCCTAAGGAAATCAGGGATTTTGAAGAGCTGTATTTCATACCGGAACCAAATAAATTCTCATCTTCTCAGGGAAGGAATAGAATACATGTGTCCATATGCTCACTAGAACCCAAGAGTCAAATAACTCAGGAATCTCTTTTAAAAAGGATAAAATTTTATTTTACATTGCCTTAGCTTGAATCAGTATCATCTTAGGTACAATCTGTACTCTCAAGCAGAAAAAACTACTAACACATCAGCCTGGAAACAGACTGAAGAGGCCAAAGACATGTAGAAATAGACATAACTTGTACACACAAATAACACTGACAAAAAATGGAAAAAAATTACCAAGAAATCGGCCTCCAAAGAAACATTAACTGTTCTGAAGAAGTTTTTTTGTTACATTCTTCTACTAGCATATCCCAAAAATCATTACTACACTGTAAGACATACTTTCACTTTATGTTAAAACTCCAGATTTTTAATCAGCAAAAGGACATTCACTGAGTGCACACTCATGTCTTTCACTGAAAGAATATTTCACCTAAAACATAATTCCTGAGTTCTTCTGTTCACTCATCAGTTCTGAAGCAATGTTTAGCTTTACTTTCAGTCGCTTGCCAAGAAGGTACTGTCAGTAAACAAGAGCTAAAGCCATCATCTACAAGGTGATGTAAGAAAGATGATCCTTATGACACTAACATCAACTACAGTGCTGCTTTTATTTAAAAAAAAAAAACAAACAACCTTCTTCTAATATGCATTTGATATTTTAATTAATAATAAATCTAAACAGACAACTAAAATTCACTCTTAATGAAAATAGTAATTTTCATGATGTAGTTACATACAGTGAAAAACTATTATTTATATTGTTCTATATTTTAGAATGTGCTAAACTTAGCCTAACATTTGTAGGACTTTAAGCAAGAATTACAGTCCCATCTAGTCATCTGTGACCTATTAAGAGAACAACATTTTCTACTCTATTATTGCAACAGCCTCATTTGGACAAACTGAAGCATCAGTTGAGAGATACACTGTAATAAGAACAATCCTGCTTCACATTTGTTTTCTCCATTTCATTTTTTCTGGACTTGCTGCACTGAGGTTGTTACACTTTTTATTTCCTAGAGTGGCTCCTATTTTCAACTTCAATTTCCCACTTACCCAACCTGCCTGCTCTTCTCCATGAGCTCAGTCAGCCCAAAGTAAAAAAAAAAATTATGAAACTGAGGTAGCATTTAACTCCTCAATGCCAATCTCCACCACCAGAAACAAAGAGGTACTTCAAGACATTAGTACCCCTGCATATTATTAACAGTTGATCAGACAGGGGTAAGGCTGTACCACCATACATACATATAGTCCTTCCAGTACTGAATTCTTTGTTTCTCTTATTCTGTAAATGTCAGTAAAATCACTTTCTCCAGTCAGCTCACCTGACTAATAAAAAACAAATCCATTCTATTCCAGTCAAACAGTTTTCTTGGTGGTTTATTATATGTGTACGAAATTATTTCAAACACCGAACGCCCCTCAACAGCTCCATCTGTACCCCAGTAGGATTTCTGTTGCCTTTGAGGAAGCTGTACATTGTTTTAAGTACCTGCATAAAACCAACTTAGAATTCCGAGTTCTCTGAAAAGACTATAAGTATCAACAAAATCGTAATTCTCATTTTTCACTCTCAGCTAGTAATTTGACACAGCATAAAAACTTACATGGCAAAAAAAATAGCAGTTGATCTCCTCCTTTATTTACACCTATCAGATAACAACATTTTAAAATCACCCAGTACTTCAGAAAGTCTTCGTAACTGCAGCAGGGAGGTTTTTTCATCTCTAATAGCAAGCAAGGCTGACAGAAAATGTAACCAGCAAACCACCAGAGAGAAAGTTTAGCTTTAAAAGCTGAAGCATTAGAGGAAATTTGAGCAGTGACATTTAAAGGAATACTCTGTCAAGTCAGTCTTTTAATTTCCTCAGTTGGTCAACTGCTGTCAGACTGAAGCTTCTCCACCAGAAATTGATGCAAATTACTTGCTAACTGCCCAAAGGTGTACAATAGTAGCAATTCTGGCAAACTTTATTTTTAAAATTATTATATTTATCTATAGTAACTATTACGCAAGTAGGAAACATGTAGCATTTTCTCCCTGCTTTCTGTAAGAAAATGAACTTTTAATTGTTAGATATTCTGTAGTTCGAAAGAGTAATGCAGCTTCTCCCAACTTTTACCGCAATTAGGCTCTTTTGAGGCTCAAGCATCAGAACACATCTCCCATGTAATTTCAGATCAGAAACAGCAAATAACTATATAATCCACCAGAGTGCCTTTTT